GGTTCATATCTTCTGCAGTCGAGTCTTTGCTAATCGAAATTCAGAGTCAAAATGAGGTTTTTGTGGTCCAAAACTTGTAGGTACGGTTAAGTGTGCAATTCGCATTGTAAATTTAAACACACAAACTTTATGCTTTGGGATGTTCTTCTCTTTTAAAGTTTCATTCCGACCCATAATGTACTAACTAACCTAATTACAACGGTTGTTCATCTGATACAAGTCAGAAGTCATCGTTTACTTCTAAACAGAGTAGTTAATTATTGTATAGAACTGGAGTAGTCAGAAGTCTTGAAATGGCTAATTGGCCCACAGGTAGGGGTTTAACTCGTGGTTTGAACATGACTTTATTGGCGTGTTTCATTCGCGTGCTGTTTTAATATGATGTCTGTCTTAGGTACGTATTTGTTTCCTACTTCGTAAAAAAAGAAGATTATTGTCTTTTACTATGTCAATCTTCAGTCCGTGTTTACGACAACAAAAGTCCTGGCAAGCATTAATATATATTCGTTTTTCTCATCGGGGATTTGATCGATCTGCATATTTTGTACTGATAATTATGGTTTAAGCTTTCCAGCTTATACGTAGAGGAAAAAACTAAAAAGAAAGAATTAACTATAAAGAATTCTGTGCTGATCTGCCGTTTACCTTGTTACATGATTATAAATAGAGCACAACCATGAATTGGGCTCTCACAATCTTTCTTTCTATATCCCCTCAATAAAATCATCTAGTAACGCACAAAACTTGGAGATACTATTCCAGCGAAATTAAACCTACTGCTTCCAAGCTGCTCTGCCCCTATAGCGTCTGATTTAGTCCCTATTATTACGATGTTATTTAGTCCCTATTATAACTCTCTTACCAGCCACCAGCATATATATATGGCCTGGAACTCGAAAGCAGCTCTTTACTCTGTTTGCTTGCTGTGTTTGTTGCTGATTCAACAGGGATACCATGAAGGCAAAGGCAATGTCGTCATGGCAGCAAGGTTACGATTTGATCAAGACACTAATATTCATGCCCCGCCAACTTCTTCCCTTAATGATGCTGATAATCAACATTTAATGTCTTCAAAATATAGTCCAAGGGTTATTCCAGTACCACCCCCTCCAAAACCTAACCCCAACTCTCATCCCAGTCCGCCCGGCGAATACTGATCAACTTCATTCGATGCAACTTCTCTATCATCATCCTGAAGAAATATCGACTTCAGCATCCTTTCAAATTTTCAATTGCGATTTATTTTTAAGTATCATTCGTCAAAGTGCAGAATGTCTAGTATTCAACTTACAAGATGATACCACTCCCTTTTCGGGGAAAAATAAAAATGAAATAAGATTATACCACTACTTTTACAAGGTTGTTCGGAGTAAATCCTAACCTGGAAACAAATAATTTAATCCGTTGCGTTCACATTGAATTACTACCATTGTTATAAGTAATTGAACGTAATTGAACATCTGTTTTTACTTTCTAGTAACTGAACGTTCATGGCAGCTGCTCAGGACCACTAACAATTTTTATTTTTATTTTTCAGATGGAAATTATGAACCACATGTCCAATTATATGTAATTGGCAGTTTGGCTAGTAGAACAACACGTGTGAAAAAGGAGAAGTCAAATCCAAAAATTAATGTTGGTTTGATCTTTGACTAGAATTCTTTCATAAGTGAAAAAAGATGACCAAGATTTTGATTAGGTAGAGAATATATGGAATAGCGAATATGCTACTAGTAGTTAGTCATTAACAATAATAAACACGTACATACTAACTCCTGTTAGGCTTGTTACGTTCACACCGCCCGAAACATCCTCCTATAAATATATCATAGCTCTCAGGTAATCCTTCTTAAGATGAGCAACTTCATCACCAAAATTACTTCAAGAAGGGGGGTTTTTTTTTTTTTTTAAGAAAGATTATAGCACCATAATAGTACAACTAGAAAGATGAAGGTAATTAATGTTACGACATGTTTTATGGTATTCATTCTGATGCATCAATTGTGGCTTACTTGTGCGGTCCCATTGTCAAGGAACCACAACATCTTGCTGTGGGGGACTTCTGATCAAGAAGTTGATGACCTGATGAACGGCGCCATTGATATTGGCAAAAATACTAAGGGAGGATTGGTATTCAAGGACGATCCTCCACCACCGCCACCACCAGGATTTAATCCGCCCTCTCATGTTCTGGACACCCCTCCTCCTCCTCTCCTCTAGCCGGGCTAGAACTAGCCTCGTCCCCTTCATCGTCATCTCCTCTTCCTCCTCCTCGTCCATGTTATCATCTAAGTCTTTCCTGCATCCGCCCTTTTGATATTGATGATTACTAGCTATTTTTGCATATCATAATCATAACTATTGCTCTCTCTCTCTCTCTCTCTCTCTCTACATACATAAATACTTATATATATATATATATATGTACACACAGTAATTAAGACGTTGATGACATTTGATATATTTAATAAATTTTGGGAGTTGCGACACTCATTCCAAGATTAATTCTTGTTGGCTTTTGATATTTGCATTGTCAACTAGTGTTTTCTACTATGTCTCAAAATGATTATTAGTTTGTGATTTTACTTTTAGTATTGTAATTGTTTTATTTCCAATTCTACACATTGATAGATGCACTAAAACTAATTGGGTTTCGTTTGGTTCGATTGAATTGCAATTGAATTGTTACTATTAAATTGAAAATGAGATATTAATATTGTAATTCAATGTCAGTTCTCTTGTTTGGGAGATCTTGAAAATTTACTAGAATTAAGGTTCTAATTCCAATTATTGCGTTTGGATGCATAAAAATTTGGATACTTTAGAATTGAAATTAATTTGTTATTGTATAACTAATACTAGTACAATTTATACTTCTTGTCAAAAACTTTTTTTAAAAAAAAAACTTATTTTATTATGGATATGTATAACACAAAAAAATAAATAAATTCATTATGTACATGTATATTTGACTAATTTGTGGTTGTTTAACTAATACAATTTTTGTTTTTTTTTGGTTAAAATGAATTATTATTATTAATTAATTTGCTATATCAATTTTGTAATTTATTATGTACACTCATTTTTGTTGGAAACAAAAGAAATATTATTACGTATAAGAACAATTAATATGATACTTAAAATTCTCACTTAATACACAAACAAGTAACACGTAAAACATCTTTGTTTTCCTCTCTTTTATTATTTTTCAAAATTTTTAATTTTTGATGTTTTGATTTATATCAAAAATTAAAAAGATTTTATTATATAACCTTGCAAATTCAGTTTATGAATATTGAGGTGCATTTATACATAGATTAATATTAGTATATAATATACGCTTAAATGTTTTTATTTTTAGTATATAATTATATATGAAATAATAGATACTTAAAACTCAACTTACATAATTTTTTGTGAAAAGATGCCATGAATAGTTAATATATATATATATGTATTATAATATAGGTGTATATATGGAACAATTTCTATTAAAAAAATAAAAATATTATGTTGTTCACTATGCCATAATATAATTAAATTATTAACCAAAACTAAAATATTTGGTTATTAATTTTTTTTGGTTATAGCTATACTTTTGATTTCTTTTGTAAAAAAGATACAATGTTAATTTTAGATTGATTTCATTGATAATTATTAAAATGATATATATGAAATAATAATAATAATGAGACAAACAACCCCTAAAAAAGAAAAAAAAAAGAAAAATACCAGGAAGCGCTGAAAGCAAAGAAAGAAAAAGAAAAAAAGCTGAAAAAAATAAAATTATAAAAAATATATTTAAAAAAGGCCAAAAAACAAAAATTGATAGGACGACCCGTTTAGGTTATAACCCGGTAACGATCCGGCTATGACCTGCATATTCTTTTTAAGTGCCTTAACTTTGGATTCTAATTATTTGCTCCCACAAAAGAATTAAAAATAAAGAATTTTACCCCATCTTGAATTATAATTACAATTCTTGGACCTCTATTTTTAGCAACCAAACACAAGAATTGGAATTATAGAGCTCCAATTTCAATTCTTAGTCCCAATTCAATGCAACCAAACAAAGCCTTGGTATTCATGCAAATCAATAGGCCGAGAGAAGGTTATTTCTCGCGTATTAGTGCATTCACTGCTCGACATGATTTAACAATTTGAGTTATCGTTCTTGCTTTGGGTGTTATTCTCCTACATTGTGTTGTTTTAGGTTTCGAGATTAATATCAATGACGTCATAATCACATAATTTAGCGTTCATGTTCATCTTCTATAATACATCTATGTCCACAAACAACTCTTAAGTTTTTGAATGATCCATGTGGCATGTGTGATTCACAAAGAAGAGTGAGGACTTGGTTTAATTTGCATTTTTATTTTAGTACAAATTGAACTAAAATTTAAATTTTAAAGTAGAAAATAATTTTGGGATATAAACATAAATAACACACCCTTCTTCCTAAAAAAATAGACCACATCATGTTTTCTGATTTACAATATTTATTGTACAAATTTCAAAATTAAATATTAACTTTTTTCTTTAGAAGAGATGGAGTAATTTAAGATTTATTATTCAAACTTGAATATAATAGTGATTGTAAAAACTTTTATTTGGGAGAATATCGTCTTCTATATCAGAAAGGCTACCTTTTCGCGCGAGTGTCTCAGTAACTCTCTCTTTGTGTCTGCGTAACAAAAAAAAGTACATTCTCTCCGTCCTAAAAAATCAGTTTGAGAAAAAATCTTGTACTAAAAAAAAATTCAGTTTCTAAAAAGTCAAAATTGAAATAGATAAAATGACTTAACTGCTATTCTATCTTCTCCGCCATTCTTTCGGTGAATCATTATCTCCGGCCAAACCATGGTCAACGGCCAAAATAGAACCCCAACAGGGATCAAAATAAAACCCATAACGGTGGCTACTCCATTTATATAGTAATCATCATATTTCGAAATATACCAAGCCAAAAAAGAAATCAAACCAATCATAAATCACGCCAAAATCTTCATATTAAAAAGGAACACAATAAATTTTAGGAGTAAAATTTCAAATCAGAAAAAAGAAAAAAAAAAAAAGGGAGATTCATCAGATCCTAAGTTGGATCTTTGACGACTCGGACGGGGAGGCGTTGGTAAGGGGAGATCCGTCAGATCCACAAACATCCTTCAATACGGGCAAATCAAACAAAATCGTCGAACGGAAATAAATGGATCAACTCAAATTGAAGAGGTGCAAAAGATATTCGATCGCTGTGTTTAAAGACGCCGGAGAAGTGGAGAAATCAGATTCCGAATGGGAAGCCATGACCGGCGGACAGAGGGATTTAGTCTCGGTGGTTATATCGGCGTTGCGACTTGAGAGCGAGAGAAAAATAAACGGATTTGCTTTTCAATTTCAGATGAGATTAGATAAACTGTTGATCACGGGTAAATGTGGCAGTTTAATAGATAAAATGAGTTGTATCTTGTTAGAATTGATTGAATTAAAAAAAGTTGTATATTTTGAAACTGAATTATTTTTGTGAGACGGATAGAGTATATGCCAGCTGAAATGCAATAAGCTCATAAACAACCATTGCATGTATTCAAATCAATCAATACCTTAGGGAGTGTTTGTGTGGTGGTACGTGGTAGGTTAAATATTAATTTTGCATTCCTTTCACACGGTTGTTCAAGCTTCGAACCTCTAGAATCAAAATAAAATAAAATAAAGTCTTTTTTTTTGAGAGGGTAAAGTAAATTAATTCAAGTGCATATATAAAAATTGAATATTTATTATTCGCATAATGAATTTCTACTACTTAATCATATGGAATAAAACCAAGTACAGTCCAATCATATGGAATTGGTATGCAGAATTTATCTGCCGTATGAAAACGAGAAGTCTCTCAATCTTTTAGCGTGGTTTGAATTTTGAACAGTTCTTTAAAAAAGAAAAACAATTATAGTAGATATTTTTAGTCCATCCCACAAGCAAATACTAAATCAAACCGTAAAAAACCTGATGCATTTACACCAGCAATATCCTCTTATATAAATCGTAGTTTTCGGTTAAGGTAATATAATTACAGATCAGCAACTTCATCACCAAAATTAATCAAGAAGGTGGGGGTTTATATTTATTTTTTTCTTCTTCGAGAAAGATTGAATTGTAATAAGATGAAGGTTAATGTTACGACAGGTTTTATGGTATTCATTCTGATACATCAATTCCTGTTGTTTACTTGTGCGGCCGTGCCATTGACAAGGAACCACAACATTCTGCTGTGGGGGACTTCTGATCGTGAACTTGATCAGAACCACGCCGCCGATATAAAAGATTCTAAGGAAGGATGGGTATTCAGGCCAGCAAGATCCCCACCGCCGGCGCCAAAACATAATCATCCAAGTCAATTCATAGTAGTCCCTCCAGGGCCAGAACCAGCCAGGTCCCCATCGTCGCCGCCGTCATCTTCTCCTCCTCCTCCCAATCCTTGTTATCATCATCGTCTTGGCTGCATCCGCCCACACAATAATAATATTGACTATTATAGTAAAATATAACGTACGCGCATATTAGTTATGCTCCGAATTATGCCCTGTTGGGGTGGGTGCGGTGCTTATAAGTTTCATGTCATGTAATTAAATTAGCCAACTCTCGTCGACTATAGACACCTATAATATTGAAAGAAAAAAAAAGTCAACTCTCTTGTGTTAGAAGACCGTAGCTTTGAACAAAATATACGTATTTTATTAATTAACTAAAGCACCCCGGAGCAGGCGCAGCTATACATCAATGATTTCAAGATAAAATAATAGATGTAACTTTTCGTTGTTGATGAGCAGGAGAGGCCTCTTAACCATATCACTGCACCTCATCGTCAAAATGAACATGTTTATAAAATTTTTGTACAACCCTCCCAAAGTAAAAGTTCTGAACGGGAAAGGGATTGGAAGAGGAGCAGATATCGGCACTGAAAATTCTTGGCTAGTTATGGAGTTTGCAATCTTATTTTGCCCGAGTGGGGAAGAAATGTTTTCTTTGCAGCTGTTTCTCTATAACCCAATTTAGGTTATTTTCTCCGATGTATATATATTGGCAGATTTCCAAAACAAATAAATAACTTTTGCGGCTTCTAAAACAAAAATCATAAAAGACCGAGGATTTAGAGATTCACCTATATATGTATAGTTTATATCCATATATATCTCTATATGTAGCCTATTATATATTGTGTAGCTTGTTTCCATTTTTAAATCTTCCTCTCGTACGTACTATATATAGAGATCGATGCCGAAAATGTCAAAAGGAGTCAGTAGTGTATATATATATTATAGCAACACATCTGCGATTTGATTCGCAGCGTCGGAATATAATCAAGACCATTTGTGAGTTGCTTTCCCTTAACATTTTTTAATGGTAGGCTTAAGCCATTATGATTAGTGCTTCGACTTACAAGATTGTTATGAGGCAGATAACCTAATTCTCATGATAATAACGTTACAAATTCCTTGAACCAATTTTTTTTTTTTTTAATTGAGAATGCTTTCTCCTATACTTGCTATGTCACGATCCGGCACTCCAGCGATGGATTCGGCGGACAGGATCGGAGAAAACAGAGGAAGGAGGTGCAGAATTAGGGATACGGAATAGAAGAATTGGGGAATTGGGAAAGTCAGAAAGAGAGGGAAGGAAGAGAATCTGAAATATCAATTCAATACTCAAATCTTTTGCATAATTTGTTTTTACAACCCTTGGAACTATATATAGCCCTGCCGTTTACCAAAACTACCATGAAGTCCCTACAATTCATGACATGCTATATGTAACTAGTATAGAAGTCCATGAGGTTCCACCTCAAAACCAATTGGCCATGAGTGAAATAGCACATGTAGTTTATATATTGATATTCAGAGTCTTCAAACACCGATGTGGAATTAGGACTCTTTAATACTCCCCCGAAAGCCCAACGTATTTTTTTGGGTTGGCCTTGTTCAATTTTTTCAGTCCAGACACCGTCTCACGTCTCAACCATATTTTTTTATTGGGCTTTTTAGAGTCTGAATGTCGACGTGTTAACTCTGATACTATATAAAAGCATATGAAACTTATATATTGATATTCATAGTCTCCCTACACCGATGTGGGATTGAGACTCTTTAATAGTTAGTAATTAGTAGTTGATCCTTATTAAAAAAAAATTATGGAATAACAATCTGAATTAGTAACTGAAACCAAACATGGAATCACTAAGATTGAGTAAAAGTGTAAAACTAAGAGGGGGGGGATATCATTTGGTTAGTTGTCACATTCATCGATATAGTTACAATTTAATAAGTATAAATTTTTGTCTCAATAAAATAGTCCACATTAAATTTTAAGATTTATACTATATTTAATGAAAATTTAAAAAATCAATGTAAATTTTTTTTCTTTTTTTTCGAACAGAGGGAAGATTAACTACTATTGTCAAACGAGTGAAACCTGCTCCCTCTAATTCAATTCAATTCAATAGGTACATTTAGACAAACAAAGAGTTTAAGAAAAAGTGGGTAATATAATTTAAATGGTTAGTTTTTGAGTAATTCACCTATTATATATACCTTATTAATGACTAGTGGTTGCTAATTAATATGGTGAAATTGAGAGTTAGATTTAATTAAATGTTTTAAATTTCAGTGATAAGAATGGGATATATTAGAGAATTTATAAATAAAATTAATGTTAACATTTGGAACGAGATTAAATTTTGGAACATCTAAAAAGAGGAAGTGAGACTGTTGAAATTACGATGGGGGAGTATGATATATATTTGCGAAAAAAAAAAGGAACTAGGAACAACTTTTGATTACTGCATGTCGTGAATTTATTATTCAAAAGCAGGTTTGTGTTTGCCAAGCGGCTTTTTTTTTTTTTTATAACAAAATATAGTATATATGTTTGATTAATTCTTCAAACTTCAAAGAATTTCCTTATTTAATAATATATCAGGCAGATTCTAACTGTTTGACCAGGAATCCAAAACAGTACCTTAGAGAGTGTTTATGGTGGAACGTGGTTGGTGGATTATTACATTCATCTAACACAGTCCTCGTTCAAACTTCAAACCTTTAAAGTCAAAATAAATAACTTTATTATTATTATTTTTGGATGGGTACAAGAAAAATTACGTCAAATGCAAATTTATTATATATACACGTTGAATCTATTATTCGCGTTATGCATCAACACCAACACCAATCACATGGAATCTCATATGGAATCATGGGATGCAGAATCTGATATGTCGTATGAAAACGAGAAGTCTCGATCTATAAGCGTGGTTTGAAATTTGAAAAGTTCGTCATAGAGGGAAAAAAAACCTGATGTAATCCATCCCACAAGCGAATACTAAATCAACCATTGAAAACCTGATACATTCACACCAGCAACCTCCTCTTATATAAATCATACTTCTCTGTGGCGGTAAAGATCAACCAAATTAACTCCTCCACCTCCAAAATTCAAGAAGGCAGCTTTTAGGAAGATTGAATTTAATATTGTAAAAATGAAGGTAATTCCAATATGTTTTATGTTAACCATTTTGATGCATCAATTGTGGTTCACTTGTGCGGTGTCATCGACAAGGAACCAAAACATTTTGCTGTGGGGAACTCCTGATGGTCATGAACTTGATCTGAACGACGCCGCCAATGGAAAAGATAGTACTAAGGAAGGATCCGTATCCAGGCGGCGGAGAAGATCGCCACCACCACCAAGACCTAATCCGCCCATTCATGAACTTATAGTAGTCCCTCCTGCCGGGCCATCCCCGTCATCGTCGCCGCCATCTTCTCCTCCTCCTTCCCGTCCTTGTTACCATCATCGTCTTGGCTGCATCCGCCCATACAATGTTGATGATTATTAGCTAGCTAATGCCTCCATATAATTATACATTTTTTACTTTTGGGTTTCTACTAGCTTGAATAATTGGGGTATACCATACGCGGTATGTTGCTTATAAGTTCCAGGTCATGTAATTAAATTAGTCATTCTCTTGTGTTAGACCAGTAGACCACAGGTTTGAGTGAATCAACAAAATACATATTCCGTTAATTAACTCAAAGCATCTGGCGCAGGCCTATCAATGACTTCAATATAATATCATTGATGTTACTTAACCATATCATTACACCTCCTCGTTAAAATTAACATGTTTATAAAATTTGTATAACTCTCACAAAGTAAAACTTCTGATTCAGATTGTTATGGTCATAGATATTTACACACACACACATATATATATATATATATTCATATGAATAACATTCCTTTTGTCCCAAAATAATTATCCATATTCAATTTTTATTGTTAGTACAAATTTATGTTAAAAGTAAATTAAATTGGATAATTTTTATTTGGGACAAAGGGAGTAAATTTATTGGGTTTTCGCCCTACTAGAAGTTCTGATTCAAATTGGGATGCCGTTGCACGAATATTCATAGGTAACTCTAAAGGGAAGTGGTAATATATTGTTTCCCACTTCAATGAGAAAAAAAAAATCAAAAACAAAATGCATCAGCTTCCATGCAAATTTCAACTCCCAACTATATGCATTGACAAAAATCATCCGGCCTCCATTACTTGCCAACTGCTAACCCCAATACCGTCACCTCACTTATCCTCTTCCTTAATTTCTTTTGCTTGCTTATATATTTATCGGCTTCTCATATTATCATCAGAAGAAGAAACAAAAGGTTTTCTAGCCAGGCCGCCATGAAAGCAACTGATTCCCTTATTTACTTGTTTACTTTCATGTTGATCTATGAACTGGTGCCGATTCAACGGAGTTATAATCATGAAGGCAAAGTCAACGGTGTCGTGGCAGTGATTGATCAAGATTTCTCAGCTGTGACGAGCTTTCAAAAACCACCAGCTTCTAATTCGCTGGTTAATGATAACCGTTACGATCTCATGTCCACCAAAGTCCCGAAGGTTGTCCAGAGAAGAAGAGGCAGGCCAACTCTACCGTCTCCAAAACCTAATGGCCCTGTTCGGAGTGCACGCCGCCATACACCACCACCTGGACAGCCTAATAATCCATCTCAGCCACCATCACCACGTGCACCGACGCATCATTAATGTTAATGTTTGGCACTTTGGCAGAGTGCGTGACCGTCAGAAGCGTAGGTTATATACTCTTTTCATCCTGAAATAATTATCACAAATAATAATTTTGAGACAGAGGATATAAAGTTATTTTAAACTTGATTTCTATTGAGTACCGGATCAACTTATCTTGTCAGTATGGCCACGTGTAGTTAAATTTTTTTTTTAATATTACACTGCCTCTCTTTAGAAACTTAAATAAAAAATGTGCATATGTAAGTTAATTTGTTGTGGTGAATAGTGATTTAAGCGCATGCATGCATGGATTTTGTTCAGACTATCCAAAACGATTAAAAAAAAAGAAAAAAGAACCAACTGGTATAACCTTCTTTAATTACTGTCTCTACATTGCATAGATTTTTACTATTGTGCTTTTTTCATGTATATAAAATACAGTATCCAACGACAACTATAACTTTGATTGTTTTCTCATTTACGTCGAAGTGAATGAGAATTCAACGTAGTTACATGACCTGTCGTAGTCTCGTAGATGTTTCCAAAACGGTTCTAGTTGCGCTCAAATACTCCTTCTTCTAACTCTTGCTTCTTGAAACTCAAATATGATTTTATAATATCAATTAGAGTATACACAAGTTGTCTTTAATAACCCAGATATAACCCAAAAAAAGGGAAAAAAATTATTTCAGATACATTTATATAACGTTATTTCATATCAGTTCAATAAACATTACATACACAAAATGAAAAACGAGTAAGCCAACAGGCAACAACTATATTGCGATCTTTCAGGAGTTTTTTTGGTGGTTAATTGTTAGACTAGTAGTCTATTACTTCTTTCATCCTAAAAAAATAATTCATTTTGATGTACTTAGTAAATTGACTACTTCTTTGAGCCAAAAAAACTACTTGCTTCCACAACGCTTTGTTCTAGTTCAAACTTCACAAAGAATAAGTGAATCAACGCATGCATACTCAATGAAAATATTTCATTTCCCCATTTGCAAATGAAGTAATTATAGAAGTCTATGGGATTTCACCTCAAAATTAATGGGCAATGAGGAGAGTAGCTCATGGAGTTTATACATTAACACAAAGTTACTCCTAATGCCAATGTGGGACAAAAATTTTATCACTCTCCCTCAGACTCAACGGGCATGAACTAGATCACCCGATATTTTTATCGGTTTGTCTGATCGCCTCTGGCACATCAGGTATGGACCTAGATCAGTCCGATCGCCGATTATAATATTGGGTCTGACCTGCTCTAATACTATTTAGAAACTTATGAGGTTCTATCTTAAAATCAATTGATAATGAGGGGAGTAGCCCATTAAATTTATACATTGATACAAAGATTCTCCCAACACCGGTGGGACAAGAGTTTTGTCAGTAATCTTCAGCAATTGAACGCGCCTGCATGGGAGCAACACAGGACCACGAAAAACGGATTTCATGTGCAATAATAGTATGGAAAGAACCTGCATGCAGGACTTTGAGTCGAATAAAAACGAAAAAGTCTCATATCCAAAATCGTGGTTCGAACTTTGAACTATGAATAGTTTTTGTGTGTCTTCATTGAGAGAAAAACTTTTAATAATCCCAAAGAGTTGATTTGATGAATGATGACTAGCTAGGTAGATTTCATATATATGTCATTATTAGTCCCACAACGATTGAATATTTACAAATCTTAAAACTTGACGTGGATGGACAAGTTTTTTGGGACAGAGAGAATATTTATAAAGAGGCAATCTTGCAATGTTTCACACTAGTATCATCCTCGTATAAATCATAGTTCAAAGAAAAAAATTATTCGCAAGATTCAAATTAAAAAATATGAAGGCGTCATTATGGTATTTATTCTGATGCATGAATTAGGGTTTACTGGTGGGGTGCCATTATCGAGGAACCAAAATGTTTTGCTGTGGGTGACAGATGAAGTTAATCTAAGTGGCGCTGCCTGAGGGAGGATCAGTACTCCGCCCAGCAAGATCCCCACCACCAACTCCACATCATAACCCGCCTAGTCATACTATACTTCCTGATGAGGATTCCCCTCCAGGGCCAGAACCAGCTGAGTCATCCCCATCGTCATCTGATCTTCCTCCTCCTCTTTCCCGCAGCCGCCAGTATCATGTTGATGATTACTAGCTCATTGATATGAATTATGATAGACCTTAATTATGAATTAATATTGATCCATGTACGTTGGCATGCATGTTCCTATTTGTATAATTACTTTTTTTTTTTTTGGAAAAGATATAAATATTATAACAAGTACATTTACTATACAAACGATAATTGAATATTTTGTAATGGAATTTTATTTTTGTTGTGTAGGTTCCTTGCAACGCTAATTTTTTTTTATTATTTAAAAAAAGATAAATAAAAATAGTTATGACTTCAGCCTTCAAAGCTCAAATGGCGATAGTACCATGACTTTGAATGATCTGCCTAACTCAATGTTGACTTCCAACCTCCTCTCATGCTAAATTGTGGATCAGAAATTTGACCCAAAAAAAAAAAAAAAATTGTGGATCAGAAATGAACGGTAGGACGCCGACAGATGGGAAGTCCAAATTAAGCTCCTTACAATTACAACAAAATTCCTCAGCCGCAGGAATCATTTGAGGACTTATGACTGTTTCACACAATCCTAAATCGACCATAAGTGTATGATTTAGTAGCCATGATTGTGATAGTCTAAAATTTTTAGGTAGCTACCACTGTTTTTGAGAGAGGGAGTATGATAATTACATCAGCACACCTAACAACAACAACTATAATACTTTTGTCCAACAACAATAATTTACATTGAGTTTTAAAATTTGAATTATTTTTTTATTGAATTTTGAAGTTTAGACTATTTTCCTTTGGGAGATACTCCCTCCGTCTCATAATTACTGTCCAGATTGAGTTTTTCATTTTTAGTTCAAATTGTACTAAAAGTGAAATCTCAAACTGGAGAATAATTTTGGGACAGAGGGAATAGATTATATTTTTTTAATTTGACAAAATGAAAAGCTTGTTCACTTAGAGAGGTAAACCCCCAAGTGTGACTTGCAGGACTCCAGAAGTCGTAAATATCGGCAATATGAATCCTCCCCTGCTGTTCTACGGGCTTACGGGGTTACAAGACCATGCACATAACTAATCGTACAATTCCGCGTTAAGTTGACGAGACCTTGGAAGATCGCAAGGGGGCCAAGGGTTTGGCGCAACAAATAATCCGAAAATCTTACACTCTTTATAACTAGAGCCAAATAAAAAGATTATAATAATACAGTCTAGAAAACTCAACTCAAAGTATTCTAAGGGCTTCGAAAATGTACTGCAACAAACTTCTTTTAATACTTGCCGTTGTTGTTCTTGTGCATGGTGTGGCACTGGAAAGCAGAAATGCTAAAAATAGCTATGGCTTTGGAGTGAGGGCGGCAAGAGAGATAAGAATTGCTCTATCTTGTCATAATCCGCCGACGATGACTGTACCCTCATCCTGCCGTTACGAGCCGTTAAGGTCTGGGTCTGATTTCGGACGGATTCTGTTGCCTCCACCCAGGTCCAACTATCTTAGGCACACTGAAGTTCCACCATCGCCTGGTACTAAACACCAGATTCCGTTAGGCCCGCTACCACCTCCGCCACCGCCACCGCCCATGCCGCCTATGCCTCCTTCTGCTTATTAGTTTACTTTCATAATTCATTTGTCACTTGTGTAACCGATATAACTTACGTACCTACATCTTCAGAGCGATTCAATAAGGAGATTTTTACTATTTCGACTTACTCATGTTCAGCTCATCGTCCTCTATCCTAGGCTTAGGGCATTTCTCCTGTTAGCTAGTTTCCATCTTTTAATGCCATTATTTGAACTTCAGTGTCAGCCTAATGTGCGATTAAGAATCCAAAGACAACTTTCTGAAGATCCTAAAAATGTCGATAGAGAATTGTCTGTATTTTTGGTCTTTCTCAATATATACAGGTTCATGCTACTGGCTACTGCTGCCAACTGGATTTTCCTTATTGTTCAGTGTTCACCTCAAATTTTTTTATCACTAATACTCCCTTCGTCCCAAAATTAGTTTGAATTTTTATTTTTAGTACACATTGTACTAAGAATGAAAATCTAAACTGGACAATTTTTTTTTAACAAAGGGAGTAATAGAGTGTATTTCATATACGTACATTCCATTTTCTTTTTTTTTTTTTTTTTGTTAGTAATAACGGAGTTGCTGAAAACGTACATCCATTGAAAGAATGAATGAGTCGTAATCATCATTGTCTCCACCCCAAACCCCCCGCCCCCAAAAAAACAAAAGTTATTTTCAAAATTCATTTACTATATCATCATTTAGGAGAAAAATTATTCTTAGAATACGAACAGTGAAGGCTTATTGTAAAAAGGTAATTTCGTCCATCGTTACAATTCAATCTTTCTCGATCTCATATGTCAAAGGTATGCTAGCTACCTAGCCAGCATGGGAAAGATGCAACTTTGTGACACTTCTGATGTGCTTCCTCATAATATAGTAGCGTAAAAATTAGTGTAACTAACACAAAGTAATTAGTAATATTATTAAGAGAAGAGGCCACGATTATTAATAACAAGTCTTTTATAAATTAATTGTTTAAAATTTACTCCTTGTGAAACAGAATCTCCACTTATACAAGTTCTCGTACTCGTATGTGGGAAGAGATTATCAAAAAGAAAATGCGCCGAAAGCATCGCTCAGCAAATTCGTTTTTTAATACCCGAACTAAATTTCTTATTTCCAGTCCTCCTATATATATATTCCAGGGAAACCATCTGAGTACTTGTTTTCACAAGTGGTAAATTATTCACTGGAATTAAGGTCAAATGCCAATTAATAATAATTTCATTTTGAGACGGGAGAAAATATGAGAAACCTATACTTGTGTAAGTGCTGAACTTGTTGACTTCCAGGATTCGAGTTGTCCTACAAGCTATACGAGACCATGCATGCAAAGTCTTGAGTCTTCCGCGTCAAGATGAGCAGGGGCAACTTTGGCAACAACCAAAAATTCTTTCACTCTGTATAACTAGAGGCGAAAAAAATAAAATAATAAGATAACCACTTAAGCTAAGAAAACTCTCTTCAATTCAGATCTCCAGAGACTTTGGAAATGACCATCAAAATTGTTATTATTCTCGCAGCTGTTGCTCTTGTGCATGGTGTGCCATTGGAAAGCAGAAATACCAGAAAAATTGGCTATGGGGAAAGGGCAAGAGAGATAAGACTAGTGGCTCCGCCGCCGACGGCGGCGGCCTTATCCAACCTTGACGAGTCATTAAGGTCTGATGTTGGACGGATGCGCCCGCCTTCTCCTCAGGTCAACTCTCATCAGCACACCGATGTTCCACCGGCAGCTAAAGTACGCTCGTGCGCGCCGCCACCGCCAGATGCCACCGCCTGATCATTTAGATAATTTCATTATAAAGTGCATATCCTAATCATATATAAAGCTTTTGAGCGAGTCAATAAAACAGATTTCTATTATTTTCGTTTACTCATGTTCAGTTACTCAACCAGCTTATTCTTCGCTTATAGTGTTTTCTCTTGTAACGTAGCTAGTTTCAATCCTTTAAGGCCATTTGGTATTTACTTGTTCAGCCATGCATTGTACATAGAGTCCCGATAACTATCGGGATATTAGGAGTCCCGATATAATTGAAATTGTATGTAATGTTTGCGCTTTATTTAAATTTAATATTTTCTTTGTTTCAACACATTAAATTTTGATATTTTTATGTTTAAAAGTTGGTATAAAATTTTTGTTTTGAACAGAAGGAGTAACAAAGTGAGAATATGTGTATTGTCATCACTTGGTACACGGCAAATTAATAATTTCCAAGATACGTATTATTTTGTACGAAAAGATACTCACTTTTTCTGAAGCAAATATACTGTCTAACTTGACGGAAAGAAAGACAATCTTTTGATTGTGTTTTAACTATATGAACCGACTACTGGATTGTCTAGGGGTCTTTTGATATGCCCAAGAGGGACATCTTCTTTCTAAATCTACGTGCATACTTACAATATTTTATCCAAATGGAGTTGAAAACACTGGGGTGGAACCACAGCTAGGTTGCCCTATCGCCGTATTATTGAAGCAATAAGAAAGAATGATGCTCTTGCCGAATTTATCGATTCGAGATAGAAAGCTAGCAAACTAGGAAAATCAATGAGAGAAAGCATAGTTAACAAATGGTATATGTTATTTCCACGATCGATTTGAGCAAACACGTGAGTTGTTTCGTAATCTAAATCAGGGATCATCAAATTGCGCTAAAAAATAATAATAATAATAATATTCCACAGCTTTTGAACATGTATATATAGTTATACTTGGTCTTGCTGAATTTAGGGTCACCATTGTAGTGTAATAATATAAACTTCTAGACCAAAAAGAACAAGAACAAGAGGAGTAGGAGATGATGTGTAGACACGTATAGATTGAGTTTTCAGAAAATGACCAAACCAGAAGACTCGAACGTGATAGTCCACAGAATACATAAGATGACGAAGACTAGACTTTTGTAGATATCTTGTGATTTGAATGATGAAAAGTACGTTGACTCTACGACTTAGAGGTTAACAGCGTTGACTTTGATGAATAATACTGTACTACGCTACGCAGATAGAGATGGCCCACAAAGACCATGCATGCGTCGTCTGATTCCGCGTGAAAAGATGACAACTGGCAAGTTGGGCAAAAAAAAAAAAGCCAAAAAGAGAGGTCCTTCTCCTGCTGTACCATTTCTTTATAACTTAGTCCAAAAACTAAACCCATGTCCTAAAAAATCTTTGAAAATGACTAATAATCTTTCTTTTGTGCTTTTAATTGTTGTTCTTGTGCATGGTGTGGCATTGGAAAGCAGAAATGCTACTAAGATTAATAGATATGGAGGTTTTGGAGGAGTCGCGGCAGCAAGAGAGATAAGTAGACAGAGGACTCTATCTTGTAATACGGTGGCGGCTTCCTCCGACCATTACGAGCCATTGAGGTTTGATTTCGGGAGGTTTTTCAGGCCCCCTCCGCTGCCCAACGTCAACAAACACATGGAAATGCCACCGTCCCCGTGTATCGGCAACCTCATTCTGCCACCTCCTCCGCCACCCCCGATTTGACGTAACCTAGATAGTGTCACTTTCGTAATAATTGAGAGTAATCTGTCAACGGCATTGTTGAATTTCTATTGATCAAGAGACTAATTTTTAGCTAATATTTGGATTTGCTGATGCTCAACCATCTCATCGTACCTTATTCATTACTTATATCATTTAGTTTTTCAATAATAATGATAATAATTTATGATACTTTAATGAATACATACATATCATATTCAAATTAGTTCTAATACTATGTGCACAGTGAGCGCTCCAGAATATTGAGGGAAGAGGTCACATAATCTTAAGGATAACAAAAGTTTTTAACTATTCACTTGTTTCATCTCTTCTTATATACAAAGTTCTCGTACTCGTATGTAGTAGCCGAAGCTCCTAACTACATTTCTTAACTCCCGTCCTCCTACCAGGGAAAACCATTTGATCACTCATTTTCACGAGTGGTAAAATTAGTCATCGGAATTAGGGCCATAAACGCGTATCTTGCATCTGAAACGATTATCAAATTTCATATTCTCTTTCTTCTAATTAAAATATTTTCCTGTCTGAATTTTTATTTTAATACATTGTAAATAAAATTTAAATCGACTAATAATTTCAAGACTAAAAAAAATATTATTTTTCGTACAATGAATTGGATAATTACTTTTCTAACCTACCTGGCTTGAACTCGGATTAGTCGGAACAATAATTTCGAATATCGAATGCGTAATATACCCAATAATTAAAAACTAAACAATTACTGTGAGAGAGGTAATATCAAAACACCATATATTTGTGGAAGTGCTGAGTTTGTTGACATCCAGGGCTTTAGTACTATAAGCTATGAGACCACATATTATATTGCACCTGTCCTCAAAGTCTTGAGTCTTCAGTACGATGCATGCAAAGTCTTGAGTCTTCCGCGTCAAGATGAGAAGGGGCAAGTTTTGCAATGGCAAAAAAAATCTTACAGATACTCTATATAACTAGAGGTGAAAAGAGATCAAAAGAACCACTCAGTTTAGAGAACCCTCTCACAAATTCAGATCTCCAGACATTAAAGGGTTTGGAAAATGAGCAACAAAATTTTCTTAGTTCTCGTAGTTGTTGTTCTTGTCCATGCTTTGGCATTGGAAAGCAGAAATACCACAAAACATGGCCTTGGGGTAACCGCAAGAGAGATAAGAGTGGTTGCTCTAACTTTTCATAATCCGCCGCCGACGGGGGCGGCCTTATCCAACCTTTACGAGTCATTAAGGTCTGATGTTAGGGAGATTCGCCCCCCTTCTCCACGGCCCAACGAGAATCACAGCAACCAAGTTCCACCATTTAAAGTTCCACGTTCGCCGCCGCCGCCACCGCCTATGCCACCGCCACCGCCTCATCATTAGTTACTTTCATTAGCAAGTGCATCTTACAGTTTTGAAGCGATTCAATATGGAGATTTCTACTACTATTCATATATCATGTTCAGTTTTCACTGTAACGTAGGTTTAATCTTTTAAGGCCTTTTTTCTTATTATCATATTTCTGGATTTTCAATCATGGTACGACATTTCCCGACTACTCTCTGTAAATTAATTTCTTAAAAAATTGTCTTGTATTATAATATATATAATAATGCTTCGTCTTTCTCAAAAGTCATATTAGCATACATTATAGCTAGCATCTCTTGGTACGCAGCAAAATTCATAATTTCAAAGGTATGTGTTATTATTTCAAAAAAAACAAAAAAACTCGGCTCTCTCTGCACACTAGGGGCGAAAACACCTCAAGTGTGTGTTTCATCAGCTGACGATTTCTTCGACAATTAATGTCCGCTATGGCAAAGAAATAAAAAAGGGGGAGGGGAATTGGGTGAGAAGGCAGCTCAG